AGACTGACGCCATCCAGACTGCCACTCTGCGCCCAACCTTATGGAAGAGGTACGTGGATGACACTTTTGTCATCTGGCCACATGGCCGGCCTGCTCTAGACCAATTCTTCGACCACATCAATTCCATACACCCAGCCATCAGATTTACCATGGAAGTCGAAATAGATGGCAAGATACCTTTTTTGGATGTCCTAATTAAAAAGAGACCTGATGGTTCAATGAGCCACTCTGTCTACAGGAAAGCTACCCATACGGATGCTTATCTGAAACCGGATTCCCACCACCATCCATCACAGAAGAATTATCTCATCAAGACTCTGTATCATAGAGCCCAATGCATATCCGACCAGGAACACATAAGCAGTGAACTCAAGCACGTACACCAAGCTCTTAGGGCTAATGGTTACTCCGACTATACAATCCGCAAAGCTATCACTCAAACCATGAAGAACCCTCTTGAGGAGCCTTTCAAAACCATCACTTTACCCTACATTGCTGGGATCACAAAAAAGATCTCCAAAATCTTGAATAAACACAAGATCCCGGTCCGTTTCAACACATTACATAAAATCCGTGATCTGGTTCCGTCTGTAAAAGATGTGATTCCGGACATACAATACCCTGGTGTCTACAAACTAAGTTGCCTCTGTGGTAGTAGTTACATTGGAGAAACCAAACGCCATGTCTCGGACCGCATTCGTGAACATAAAGCAGACCTTAAACACGGTAGGACCAACACCTTGGCCGTAGCAGATCATTGTTCTAATTCAGTAGGCTCACATGCCATTGACTTTTCCAAGACGGAGGTTCTTTGTAAGCCATCTGGCTTCCATGAGAGATTCGTTCATGAGGCTATCCACATATACAAGCACAGAGACAATTTCAACCGAGAAGATGGATTCTATCTTAGCAATCATTGGAAAGATTTGATAAATCATTTCAGTTCTTGATTGATTGTTCACGCTTACAGTGGCTTTCAGACAGCATACATTATAAAAAATTTCGTCTCCCCCCCTCCTCTTTTCAAAAAAAAAATAGATGGACTAGTCCTGGGCAAACTGCCAATCGCTGCGCGTGACGCCAACGTTTTTTATAAATAAATAAATGTGCCGTTTTAAAAATAAATTTATGCAAACCGACACACCTGATGATGACCGTTTGAGTTATGGTCGAAACGTCGTGAGAATTTTTTGTTTTATATATATTTTGTTATTTTGTTGTTTCTCTTCAACGTGACTTTACCGAAAAAACTAAGAATATAATAATACTATAAGGGCTGTTGCCGTTTATTATCACTGTTACTCTCAACACTCTAAGCTCACACCAGAGGTAGGTGCTCTCTATCTTGGTCCTTGCCCCGGACCCCAAACACTATCTCACCCTACCATCAGCTATTCTTTCGGGGCTCTCTCACTCGTCTGGCCGGAGCGGGGTTCATCCAACACCGCCCGGCGACGAGGAGAGAGAAACCCCCTCTCTCAGCCGGTCCTCACTGAATACTCGGAACCCTACTTCGGCTATCCCCTTGGCTCTCCCACTCGTCTGCCCGGGACAGGGTTTCAGCCAACACCGCCCGGCAGCGAGGAGGCAGAGACCTCTTGCTGCCGATCCTTGCTCTGGCTCCCCACAACGACCACGCCTTCGTCACGGGGTCCCCCTTAAGTACCCCTTTGGCGGCTCCTCCCCTTAGCTCGGACCCGCATTTGTTCCCGAAGGTACCTCTTACACCACCCGTGACATGACGTCATCTTTGACTAACAACCCGCTTCGCACCTCCCTCTGTTTGCCCCCTTATGGTTGCTCACAATACTCCTCTACATATGTATCATGAATGTGAGAATTGCCAAGGAAATCTGCATTTTTTTTTAAAGCAAGCATATTGTATAGTTGAATAAGTGAGTGTTCATTACAAAATGTACAGCCTGTTCTCCTATAACGCAGTAGTTTCATTCTTGAAGAACACCACGTTATGGAAAAATCGCGTTGCAATATAAAATATAGGGTAAAGCACAGTCTGCGGTAACACATGAGATACGTACGCAGGCTAAACAAAGACCGAGGCGCGTGGGTAGCATCTAGAAGCATCCAGCAGCATCCCGCCTTGTGCGATGTGACGCCGAGGCAGCCGTACAACCGCTTATTCCTACTCGCGTGATGTAGTTCCGGTCACTCAATTATATCCAATTCGCATTGGTGTTATAAAAAATGATTTCCATAATATATCCAATTTGGGTTATGAAAACATGCTTTACAGGGGAACAGACTGTAGTTCTTTTGACTTCGTAGTTTTAAAGATAAAGACAGGGTTCTAAGTGTATTCGTGATTGAAGCAATTTCATTGCTTACCGTTTATGTTGGCAAAATAATTTTTGTCCAAAGATAATCATATCTAGAGAATGACTTCACAGGTGGACAAGCCATATAGAATTAATTCTGATAAGTGAAAGTCAACTTGGTGTAAGTCATATTCTTAGTTTTTTCGGTAAAGTCACGTTGAAGAGAAACAACAAAATAACAAAATATATATAAAACAATAAAAAAAAAAACTAAGAATATGAATTACTGCAGTCACGAAAGCTTTAAATCAAAATTTAAAAATTTGGTGTAAGTCAGTAAGACTTCCATGTGCAGCATAATCATGCTCAGTTTCAAGTATAAGAAATTGTGCTGTATGGCCTGGAATGCAGCCATATTGCTTTAATGCTGACCTAAAGCAGGTTTTGGTCTCTGTTTTTCTGTCATCAAGCCAGTTGCATCCCTGATGAGACCTGGCCTTGAGGACTATGTTAATTTGAGATGTGTAATAAAATGACGTTTTAAGTGACTTATTATGCAATCATTTCAAATGATTTAATATTAAACCATGTACATTGTACAAAAACATAACTCTTTTCTCCATGATGCTATACTAAGCTACATAGAGGTGAAGTTTTTCATCAGGCCCTGCCATTTTATGGTCACGTGGTTCTATGCACTCATATGCCCTTTGTAATTAGGAAAAGAAGGCTCATGTGGTCCGATGAGAAATATTTTAAGGCATTACATTTCAGAAGCAGATACCCATTATATCGCCAGCCCCATTGCGGCGTGAAGTTACAAATGGTGTGTTCCATTACAGGAAAGCAGCCACACTGTGGCCTTCAGGAACCTGAGTTTAGGCCACACGAGGAGAGAGTTGACTTGTGCCACCATTCCGATTGATCGGAAGTGAAGCTCTTAAAGTATAAATACATTAATTTCAAAAAAACCTTGTCATTATACATAGTTTTGATTTAAAGCTTTCGTGACTGCAGGGATTCATATTCTTGGTTCTTTCGGGAAAGTCACGTAGAAGGGAAACAAAATAGTAAAATAATGAAAATATTGTTTTATATTTTTATTAATTTATTGTTTCCCTTCTACGTGACTTTACCGAAAGAACCAAGAATATTATACATAGTGTTATTCTAACAGTCATCAAACCTGTCCATCAATATTTGTCAGGCATGACTACTGTCCATTGCAAGTATTGACAATGGTAACTTGGCCAGCTACCATTTTATATTTGTAATTTAGTTTTATTGATCAAACCACAGGGGTGGGGGTGGTGTACAACTTCTGTGACAGTTGAGTGGCGCAGCTCGGACAGACAACCAATGCGGACGTCTAGAACTGTATTGTTACGTGGTACGTCAGATCCCTGTTCTTCAGGGAAGCAAGGGGGGAAGGCGGGGGGGAGTCAGTCTCAATTTCAAGTTCAATCACGTAAACTCATGGTCTCTGGAGTGGCATTCACGAGGAGGCCCCAGATCTGGGTGAACTCACCTTCCCTCTTCTTCAGTTTCAGACTCCGGTGTTCTAAAGCTGCTAGGACGAATAGGGAGTCATGCCAGAGGGTGAATGAGGGTGCTCATGATTCTTCCAGGAGCTCAGGATTGTTTTTCTAACCGAAATGTTAAATGCTTGGAGAAGGGTGTGTTGGTGCCTAGTGATACCTTGGGGTTTAAGGTCCAGCAGGGAGGATTCAATGCTCGGTAGTATCTCGGTGCCAGACATCACATACAGATCGGTTATTTTATCATAGAATGTCCTGATGGTGGGACAGTCCCAGAAGGCGTGAATGTACGTTTAGATGGTGTTGGCCAACTGCCTTAATTTCAACTTTCCATGCAAAATATAACAAGGATACCGCTGCTGATCACTTTAAACTTTCCAATGTAGAATGTTTTTCACCTAAAATGTCATAAAATAACATTGCTTCATCTGTGACAAGTAGAATTGCCTTTCTGATAACAATATATGGCCCTCATTGACAATCTGGTGGCCTTCAAGTTTTGTGTATGAACTTTGTGAGAAATAGATATGTTCCATGCACCATGGAATGTGAGTACAACTTTCTTAATGTATGTATGTTGAACTTATTTTGCGCCCGTATGTAGCCAACCGTGCTAATACAGCAACACAAGCCACGTTATAAAACAAATATATTTATTGGCATGCCTCTTCGCGGGCAGATTTCAAAAATAAGCAAAATTTATTACGTTTATTTTTGCTTTAAATGTGCAGGAAAGTGATGAAGACATTTCTTTGAGTTAACGAAGGCACATGGTGGTGGCCATATATTTTTTGGGTTGGAGAAAACCTAGATTTAAAAAAAATACCTCAGTGAACAAAAAGTCTAGATCTTAAAAAGGCAGGACAGGTTCAGATATTACTCTGCTGATGTTATCCGTGGCTGGAAATTGAACTCGGATCACCACATTCATAGTGCAGTGTGCTAACTACTGCACCACTCCTTCATGTAACTCCCTGTAAACACCTCAACAATAATCCATAATCAAGGTTTGTTTGGGTTAGATCGTGTAAATATAAATGTATCATGGGACCTTTTTACCAGTATGAAAAATAAGAAGTTTTACCCTTTCTGGCAATAAAACAGGTGTTAAGATGTTCAAACACCAAATAGAACCCTTTTGCAAGGAATCATGTCCGCATTAACCACACGCGACATTTGTGGTGAACATGCAAACAAACATGCTCTGATAATATATGCATTGCCCTTGAAACTGATTGGCCCACACCAGAGACAGCCTCCTTCATGGCATCGTCGAACCAGTGTCAAGACCAGAGAATGCCAAAAGGCAAACAGCACAAAGACAATGCACGTATATCAGAGCATTTTAACAACTTTTATTTCCATAAAGGGTAAAACCTATATATTTTTTAATTAAATTTGTCCTTAAACCAGTCACCACCCGATACAGCCAATTAGTAAGGTTTGTCACGTAAACATAACGTGCCATTTAGTTACTACTTCAGCACAACATTTACAATTCGAATATGACGTTTCGCCAGTGATTACAACCAGCCTCATAAGGCGATTAGCCAGAATTGTGGCCTACGTGTTAAACTGATCTCAACCATGAATTTCCCCTAATTCACAAATTAAAACTGTCTACATCACGAGAGAAACCTCAAATAGCATTAATACTGCAAGTAATCATGAAGAGCCTGTTCTCATTAAAATCGAGAGTACAACAGTAACATTTTCTTATAATTAAGGTTGCTTATTTTAAAGCGTGTCATGTGACTGGTGGGTCAATCACGTGACTGATATGTGAAGCTGTACATGGGTTGACAGCAAACGTTCTCTGATGCAAATTACATATCTGTATAAGATGTATTTTTAAATTACGCAAAGACCACCTCTGCCAACTAATGCACAAATTTAGCAGCAACGTGACATATATATAAAATTAAAATGCTATATTTTTGCCAGGCGGTTTTCCACTAGTAATGGCACCTGATTGCGCTCAGTTGAAGGTGAACAATATTCACGCGCAGCCCTCCTTGTCTACAAAAATAAAACATTCACTTTGAATTATAATGTTTGTAGAAACTGATTTACAATATTTGAATAAATACTTTATGGAAACGATTTTACACCTCATGCATTAATAATAATTTTAGTAAATTTTGTAAAAAAAAATGTCAGATACACATGTTGAAAATCATTGTAATTACCTTTTAAATTAAAATGGCCCAAGGTAATTATCAGCTGGTGCATATAAAACATAAATATGCCCCCACTGTTGTAGATTACATATTCAACATGTTTAAAATAGACATTGCTTTTATTTGATTTTAATGTTATGGTGGTAGGATATGTCAGTAGATGTGTAATTTGCAGGCAAGGTCTTCATTTTAAATATTAAACAATTGTCGTTATGATATTTAAATACCTTGTTCGTTTTTCAGAAGCACATGCTAAGGAAACCCGATTGCAGCTCAATAGAGTACGTGGCTTCTCATGTTGATCTTTCTTCATTTTTGACCGTGGTAAAGATCATCAAAATCAGACATTTCATTTGTGAGGCATCGGTACATGGTTACACAAGGTTGAGAATTGGTAATCATGCCATAGCATTGATTACCAATTCAAAATTACCTTAACTTATAAACAATTTCACGAGGTCTTTAATGTCTGTTATCGAGCGGGTGGTACACTCTGGACATGACCCATAGCATTACTCAAACCGTCAGCATGTACAAAACTCTTCTACACTTGTCGTGTCGGGTACTGTAAGATCCGTCCAGTGCTCACCAAGCCGCCATTGGCTTCTGGTTACCGAACGAATACATTATAAGGTCGCACTCATTACATATAGAAGTGCTTGCTACAAATGAACCACAATACCTTGCTGATCTCATCAAAGTCCGGTTATCCTCGCAGCAATTTTTGACTGGCCATCGAACAAAGACGGTCATCGCATTGCGCACTTTCAGATGCGCTTCTGCGGCCCGTCTGGAACGTTCTCCCTTCCGATATTAGGAAGCCACTGGAGCTATGCACTTGAAAATCTCGGTTGAAAAATAATTTCTTAAGGACTACTTTTTGCGTTTAAAGAAATTCAGCGTAAGTGCATACGTACAACAATGCTGTGCACACGAGCCCAGAAGCCAAGCACGCTGCCCATGAGGCTTCCAGCAGCAGCAGCAGCAGCGTTCAGTTAGACGCGGTGCCCTGATAGCTACCACCCCGCGACCATTGCGCAAGGGCCATCCAAAGTCACACAAAAAACACAATTTAACTATTGTGCTGCATTTTTGAAATATATATCGTATTAACTTTCTACAAATTCATTTAAAAAAGTGCTTTCTATGTTACCCTTAGTTGTTTTTATTTCATCAGAAATTACTGTGCAATTAAAATTCATGAGGTAAAATAACCTCCCATCACGTGACACGAGGGAATGGACGCTCCATCTAGTCAACGTCGATTAGGTTTCTCTGTAATGCTGCGTGAAGTGTGTGTTCACCATGCCAAATCTCTGATATGTTTATATCTGCACATGTTAGCTGAATGTGCTCGGCTAATTACAGTGACGCTCTATAATTTTGTTTTTGTGCAGCGCAGAGAACTCACCTGTGGTGAGTTTGCGTTTGATGCTTGCGGTCAATTCTGGTGGCTACCCAGATTTCCACCCAGGATCTCAGTACTGGTTCAAGACTGACGAGGCTCTGAACTCACTGAGCCACCAACACAACGTTTAGAAAAGTGCTCTGTGTAACATGTTTTTTGTCCATTAAAATACTTGGCAACGAACCCAGCTCATTGCTCCACGATGTCCAACCCATTTTTTTTTAGCAACACGTTTCCCCATTAATGCCCCGCCGATTGAGACAAAGCTGAGCCAGCCCAGTGCCCCTATACCTGAGCTTTCCAAGCAGCCACTAAGAGAGTGAGCTTGACTTGTGCCAAAGCCACGCAATCAAAGTGTCCATTATTACAGTGTATTCCTACGGCCCTAAAGTGTAAAATCACTTGTAAAACGAAGTAAAAATCAGTATATTGTTATCCTCCTCGGCTGCGGAGGTTCTTATGGCAACATATGCCGTAAATGTAATGTTTCATGGCCTAAACTATAAATAGTAAATATTGATGACTGTTTCCCTTTTGATAATTTCTCGCGAAACACTGCACTGGCAGTGAAGCTGTCACTATGCTAAGAGAGGCACGGCATTATCAAATAATTGTAAAAGTAAAACAATCAAATTCTTGCGTACATCTCTCTCAAGGTCAAAAGGTCATAGCAGAAAATGGCATTGATGCGATGAAACGTCGTCAGTGCCTACTTCCTTTATAAATACAGTTTTAAACATAGGAGTCTCTTCTTCCCTTTGGATATGCTCTCCAAAATTATATACATCTCAAATCAAGAGGCGTACATTCACGCGTATGGCTCAAGCTGTAAGACGACTATATTTAAATTGTTGGTTTGTTGATCGAACCACAACATATTGCTAAATGTCACATGTTAATCAATTGCAGTATTCTCATTAAAAAATAAACCTCAACATTGTACCATCCTGATTGTCGCTATCAGCACAAAGGTCCCGGAATAAGCAATGTCCCACTGTGGATGCCTCCTGTGATCAGAAGTTCCACACGTCAACCCCGACACGCAGGAAGGCACCTTTGGCTCCTTTGCCTGACAATCTCCAACAGTCTGTGCTACCACAATGAACACCGTCTTTGTTGCCGACAGATGACCCCCCCTCCCCCCCTCCGTAGCTTTCGGGCTTTAATTACTACAGTGTGCAATTGGTCATTAAGGGCTTGTGTTTCTTCGTGCAGTGCGTGGAGCGTGGGGTGGAGAGCATCGCAAGGATGATGTCAACTTCCCAGCGGGCGGGGTGTTAGTAACACCACAGCAAGTGGCCATCAAGGGCATCGACGAGTATACCAAGGAGCCAATTAAAATAGGATTCAGGAATGTGTACATTTGCACACGCCACTTCACCAACCCACATGGTCCTAACAACACATTGGGAGGGCTACTTAATTGTCCTCGTTTGCGGGGCGAGCGGTTCTGTCCGTTTCGTTCATTTGCAGTGCTTTTCGCAAACACGCCGCACTTACACTTCTAATCAACCCCACAGAGGGCCGCGCGCTCTTCGCTCGTCGAGAATCTCGATCGGCGGCAGCGCTCCGTTGTTAGCTTCGCAGATTTCACCGCGTCATGCTGGAATTTCGCAGCCGGGGCGGGAAGCGGAGCATCGGTGGGCCGCCCCGGGCGGCGTCGGGGGGGGGGGTGGTGGGGGGGGGGGTGCTCTCAGGTGTTGCGACGGCCCCGACCAAGCCAAACAATCCGTACGGGGGGGGTGGCAGGCTCGGGGCGGGCAGAAGGGGCTCGCAGCTCAGTGGGCTAGTCGGCGCTGCTGTACATGGGGTTCTCCCACGACTGCTTGGCGAGCATCATCCCCCGCTTGAGTTGTTCGAACGTCACGAACATCACGATGTTCCAGGAGCCGAGGCGCAGGAACGAGGGGATGAAGCTGCGGGGAGGGCAGAGCGAGCACGACTCCAGGTTAGGACGCGGCTGGTTGCATACCGTGCGAAAGGAGTTCAACATACGTACGTACACATTAGATGCAGCTTCAGCCTGGGCTACATTCCCCCAATGGCAGAACGGGCCACTAATGAATCCAAAGTTGCGCATTCAAAGTTTCTTTCAGAGATTGTCTCAACTAAAAATGTCTCTGGGGTCAATAAAAATATGCGTGCCACAGTGACGAGATGTTAACTTCCTCGCCTGGTATGCAGGAGATTGTGGATTCGATCCCGACCCTGGCGACTGCATGTTTGGAGTTTGCATGTTCTCTTTCTCTCCCTGTGGTCGCGTGGATTTTTATCCGGATCCGATTTTCTCTCCACATTTAGAATCAGCACGCGTTTAGAGTATTTGGCTGCTATACATTTCCGCGTGATAAGCCACTAAATTGAACTATCATTTGTGGCCAGGTCGCTTCTGAAAAAAAGCTACATAGCTCAGTGGGGCTTACCTGGTAAATTAAAAATAGTTTATTCTCAGTTTGGTGCCACTTTGTGGTTGTATTATTGATTCATGGGCCTTCACTACCGAAATATGCAATTTTTGCCACGGGCAATGAGCCACTTGTGAAGATGAGCATCGCTCAACACTCTTAGGCACCTGGAGACAGACACTTTGGTTTTACACTAATGAGACCAACTTCATGAACCTGCCAGAGCCAGCTGAAATTGCTTTTAAACAGTGATCCATTGAAAATGTTTTAGGTTCAGACAAAATCCGTAATTTCAAATGTTGAATTTTACTCACGGTCTTTTATGCTCAGCTGTTAACACAAAAATCCGTCTCGCCTAATTCGATGCCGAAATCGTTGGGCAGCACTGGTCAATGAAACATTAACAATGCCAACTGGATTAGTGACTTCTAGTTGAAGGTTAATTGACCACTTGCTTCGAACAAAGTTATTGATTACTTATACAGTACGTGTACTGAATTTTTAACAAAAGGCTCATTCGGACGCTATTAATCTCATTCAACATAAAAAAAATCAGCTGCATGACTCTACACTGCTCCCCCCCCCCCTAACCCTGAAGGCGCTCACAGGTGCATACCATGAATATTTGTTTTTCTGATCAGCCGTGACACTGGCGTTTACCACAATGTCAGGCACGCTCCTGAAAGATGCATTTACACCACGTCTGACTAAACTGACTGGATATTATATTTGCATGTACAGAGCAATTTATCAAACACACGTCACACTTGATCAAATATAGCACGAACAAAGTAGTATGGCACTGGAACAGAATACCATGAAGATAAAGGTACCGCCCTGAAACCGCTCAGCTCACGTTACTGCTGGCTCTAGAGAGCCCCTCTGAAGGGTGTTTTGTCCTACTCTTCCACGCTGGCGAGACATCTTGGAAGAGGTAGGAGTACCTCCAATTTGCCTTACCACACGTGAGCTGCCAATCGACAATTAACACTGCTGGGTGGACAGAGGCATTGCGGGGAATTCAAAACCTGCACCGTTTTTTCAACTGCCATGCTAGGAGAGTAAGGCGACTACATCTGGATTGCATCGTGTATTTCGTACACGCGTTATAGTATCTGAATGGGCAGAGCTGTAATCAAAGAGCGTGACTCGCAATGAGAAATATCGGTTTTTAACACGTAGGCTTTCACGCCCAATATCCATGAGGTTATTTCGGGTTAGATCGCGTAAATATAAATGTGTTGTTAAACCCACCACCACCCGACACAGCCAATCAGTAAGGTTTGTCACGTAAACAAAACGTGCCAATTTGTTATTACTTCAGCGCACCGGTGTGTTGAGAGTAAACCAACAACATTTACAATTCGAGTACGACGTTCCGCTGGTGATTACAGCAACCAGCCTCATCAGGCGACAACCAGAGTTGTGAAGAAGTCCTCCTGTTTTGTTCTTAAAAATGCGAGTTGAAGTACTGGTCATGAGTGGATTGAGCCGAGCATCTATCGTTGTTGAGAACGTAAGAACCATTTTTTATATGTCAACAGTGGCCATCCTGTGGAGTGACTGGCCTCAGTCATGGGAAGGAGGAATTTACAGCCACTGGCTCAGGGCTGGCTAAGGAGATTAGCACGGCCACATTGCTTGATTGCCTATGAAGACACAGACTTTCGCTATGTACCCCTATATAATCACCTACCCTAATTATAAGGTCACATTCCCATACATCATCACCTACCCTTAATAGAATACCATGTACCCCTACATGATCACCTCCCCTTAGTAGAATGCCATGTACCCCTACATAATCACCTCCCCTTAGTGGAATGCCATGTACTCCTACATAATAATCTCCCCTTAGTGGAATGCCATGTACCCCTACATAATCACCTCCCCTTGTAGAATGTCATGTACCCCTACATAATCACCTACCCTTAGTAGAATGCCATGTACTCCTACATAATCACCTACCCTTAGTAGAATGTCATATATCCCTACATAAAAACCCACCCTAATTATAATACGATGTACCCATACATCATCACCTACCCTTAGTAGAATGCCATGTACCCCTACATAATCACCTCCCCTTAGTAGAATGTCATATACCCCTACATAAAAACCCACCCTAATTATAATGCCATGTACCCCTACATAATCACCTACCCTTTGTAGAAGGCCGTGGGCCCCTCCATGGAGATGAGGCACAGCGCGCAGTTCATGGCGCTGCGGTACTGCCCGGGCTTGGAGTTCATGTAGCGCGTCTTCACCACGTCCACGGGCGACGCCACCACGGTGGCGCAGAAGCCAGCGCCGAACGCCGCCACGAGGTGGCACGGCAGGTTGTCTGCGGGGCGCAAGTTGTGATATCGAGAGAGAGCGAGAGAAAAATGGACCTAAAGGCCTACTTGTTTTGGTCAAAATGTGTGTTTGATTTTGAGAGTGGCTTCGTACGAAGACTCGTGATGTTTTAGCAAGCGATGTACACGAATCTTGTAAAAGTGGCTGATATAAAAGTTACATTTTAAAAACACGACAGTAATGCAGCCTCGAACACATTGTTTGAAACTACGGGATGTATTTTACTCCTGTTTCCCATCGTTATTCAACAACACGTTTTGGAAACACAACTTGCTATATTCATAATGCGCAAGTAGATCCTGTGGTTAGGATGTAATTTGTTATTTTATTTGGGTGGGACAGCAACACTTGTCTCTTTGTACAGCAACCCTGAAATCTGGCTCGTCGGGTTCCCAGCCCATTGGCTCGAGGGTACTGCATGAATCAATTCACTAAGCTCTCAGTGATTTGAATCAACTGGGACCGGACCTAATTCAAAACAAACTTGAGATTTTTGATGATCCATTGTAGACTTGTAGATTGAAAACTCATTTCTTTAGAACAGCTCTTTTGTGTTTAGTTTGTTGTCCGTCCCACGCACCGCCGATTCGCACGGCTGGCTACGTACGGTGCGAAATAAGTTCGACATGCATGCATACGAGCTAGAGTATGTTTAATGAATGAATTCGCCAAGTAAACTCGTGTAACTTTTTCGATTTAAAGCTTTCGTGAGCTTTCGTGACAAGCTAATCCCTCAGCTATTTGATATGTAAACCCCTTTGTCAAGGTGTCTCACTTCTCCCAACCAGCTTAAAAGTCGCTACGAATCTTAACAGCGTTCATTGAAGCTCTGTGGATGTATAGGCCTTTACTTTAACATCTATTTCTGTGACCAGTCACAAGCTAATCCCTTAGCTATTTCAATGCTAAATCACTAGTTGCCTCTGTGGATGTGTAGGTTTTGACTTTAACATAGCCATTTCTGTGACCAGTCACAAGCTAATCCCTCAGCTCTTTGCACAAGCTAATCCCTTAGCTATTTCAATGCTAAATTACTAGTTGCCTCTGTGGATGTGTAGGGTTTGACTTTAACATAGCCATTCCTGTGACCAGTCACAAGCTAATCCCTCAGCTATTTGATATGTAAACCCGTTTGTCAAGGTGCCTCACTTCTGCCAACCAGCTTAAAAGTCGCTACGAATCTTAACATCGTTCATTGAAGCTCTGTCGTCCCGACAGGTCTGTACCTTTCACCTTAAGACGGCCGCTTGCGTTTGTGGCCGAAACGTCGTGAGAATTTTATTGTGTTATTTTATTATTTTATTCTCATTCTACGTGACCTTACCGAAAGAACCAAAGAAGATGAATCCTCGTGTCACTTGTTTGCACATATACCATGCAAGTATTATAGAGAGCAAAGTATAATACATATCGATCATTCGTGGCCCTTGGTCAATCCAATGCTGGATGAAGGCCTCCCCTCAATCTGTGTTGGGCATAGACCGCACCTCACCATCTTATTTCTCGTATCACAAACCGCCCACGTGAATATCTCCCCGCAGGGCGGGCGTCGCCCGCGTGTTACCTACCCGTGAGCAGATTGTGCTTGAGGATGGTCTCCTTGATGATGTCGTATGTCACCAGCTCGCCGCAGTTCACGATGGCGTTCCGCGTGATATTCGGGAGGGTGCCTGTCACAGCAGTCACGAGTCCATTAGGCGCCGTCCATAAATGACGTCACGCGATTTTGGACGATTTTTTACCCCCCCCCCCCCCCCCTTCGTCACACGGCGTCACAAAAAGTCAGACCCCCCTCCTCAAATATGACGTCACAAAGCTCTGCCCCCTCCCCCCCCCCAAAAAAAACACATGCTTCAAATCGCTTTAAACTATTGTCATTGTAGTGCGTATTTAATGTGGCGCTGCACTCTGATGTTGTAGGAGAAAACATTTATTAAAAAGTCTATTTAATTAAGTAGAACGTGTTGTCTGTATTTATTTAAAGTTGCGCATTTTGATGTGACGTCACATTTCTCAAACCCCCCCCCCCCATCGTCACACATCGTCACAAATATCTGAACCCCCCTCCAAGGTGCGTGACGTCATTTATGGACGGCCCCTTATTGGGAGTTCGTCGCTGTGCACGGGGCCCTGGCTTGCGTATACTGACCACCTCATCCCTCACTCCCCCACCTCGTTTCTGCCTACAAGGCTCCATTCAGGTTAATTAATTTCCCTGAATTTTTAATTTGTAAGTTTTAATTGCATAACCTTTTAATAGTATAACCTTTTAATAGTCAAGGCTTTATTTCTGTGTGCACGCAGGGACCATTTAATTCTCACACAATAAGGAAATGCTCTGGGTGCATTATCTTATCTGGGATTTTATATAAAGCTTTTGTAAAAGCGCTTTACAAGAATTATAAATGGTCCATTAGTTATAGGCTGATGGGGAAATGGGATTTGAGTGTTTGAGAGGGGAAGGGAAGGCAAGGAAGGGTGATGATAGAGAAAGGCAGGAGCGAGGCTAGGATGGTGAACTGAGAGGATGATTAAGGTTTTAAGGACGTGGACAGGAAATAGTCGAGGAATATCTCATCCGTGTCTGGAGGACAGTCTCGTCCCCTTCACCTGATGAAGGCCGCTTGTGTTGTGGCCGAAACGTCGTGAGAATATTATTGTGTTATTTTATTTTATCAATTTATTATTTTACTCTCATTCTACGTGACTTTACCGAAAGAACCAAAGGAGATTCATGTTTTCCTTTGACGTGAAAACAAATGTTTCCGAGAATGAACTGGAGCAAAAATCTTTCCTCAATTTTGTTTAACATGACAATAGTTTCAATTCCTTCACATCGACAATCCAGTGCACAAACTTCACAATGAGAAGGTCGGTATTGTTATTTTTACTTGACACGAGTGGGTGCGTGGGTGCTGCCGGCACAAGGGCCCCCGAGAATTAAGAGCCCCCATTGGTCACCACTGGTTGCTTCTGAAAAAGCAGCTACGAGCTCAGTAGGCTTTACCTGGTAACATACAAAAAATAAATCTATTAGCTGTGCCCAACTGCCCCCTCCCTCCCTCCCTCCCGCCTTGCCTCCCCCCCTGTCTCACAGCGCGGCAGCCAACGCTGCAGCATCCTGTATCATTGACATGGTAATTGTCTCACATGAGCATCACTTTTGTCGTGCTTGTGCCTTGCTCTTGCTCGCCCTGTAATCCCTCGAGCTTGCAGCACTCCACTCCCCCTACCCTACACCACCACCACCCCCCCTCTCTATCTCTCCTCCCTGGCTCCTCCCCCCTCTCTTACCTATATGGCCTCTTGTCACAGCAGCCCCTTTTGCCCGCTTCAGCAATTGTTTCTTGCTGTGGTTGTCCCACCTGATGACGGAGGCTTGTGTTGCGCCCGGAACGTCGTGATTTATTTTATTTTATTTCTACCTACGTGACTTTACCGAAAGAACCAAAGAGTATAGAAAAAAAGAGTTTTATTTGTATGTTATTTTTAAGCGAATTGTTTAGCTTTCACATACTTTACACCCCTATGTGTGTTTTGTACTGTTTGTTGTTGTAACATTCTGACCGCCCCTACTACCTCGCCTGGTATACAAAAGGTTGTGGATTCATTCCCTACCCTGACTCCTGTATATTTGGAGTTTGTATGTTCTCCCCGTGGTCGTGTGGATTTTTCTCTGGGTCCTCAGATTTTTCCCTCCACATTTACAAACATTCGTTTCGACTATTTGGCTGCTACAAATTTTCACGTGATAAGCCACTTCGTTGAGCTATCAGTTGTGGCCAGATCACTTCTGAAAAAAGAGCTACATAGCCCAGTGGGCCTTACCTGGTATCAAAGAAATAGTTTAGTTTTTTTATTGGACATCTGTGAAAAAGAGCTTTATAGCTCATAGGATTCCTCCGGCGTAAATACATTGTCATTGTGAGCTGGGCCCCCACGTGACGACAGCACCATGCAGCAGCAGCAGCAGCCACGCGCGCACCTTTCCACAGGCCCCGGACGCCTTCCTCTCGGCCGATGGTGCGGTAGGCGGTGAAGGCGCTCGTGTAGCGGCGCGGCATGCCGAGCTCGCTCCGCTGGGCCTGGAAGCGAACCTTGACCACGTCCGTGGGCTGCGCGATGGCTACGGCCAAGCCGCCTGTTGTGCAACCGGCCAGGATCTTGGTCATCATGCCCGCCTCTGCAGCACACCGGGACAGCCTTCGTTACGACTCGAGATCAAGGTCAAGAGGTCATTGCAGCCAGTCTCAATGATGCCATTGTGCCTCACCTTCATTCTGCCATATCCTGTAATGACAAGTGACTTGTAAATTGGCTGAGTCATGTAGCAATATTCCCAGGCACCGCAAACTCCGACATTGACTGGAGAGAGGAAAATAAATGGGTGCGCCACAGGCTCGAGAAGAGGTGGGTCAAATGTGGTGTACGAGGGCTTGAAGATGAGCGGGGAGACAAAGACGGCCGGGTGTGGTGCTCGCCACACCGCCCTATTCGTGCGCAATTCTGACCGTAATAGGCACTCGCTAACGGTGCCTGCCCAAAGTGGCGCTGTGCTACGAACCTGGCGACCCGGGTTTGATTCCCGCTCACGACCAACAGTGACGATTATCTGAACCGGTCCCCTAGGTCGACTCAGCCTCAAATGAGTACCCGGTACAGTATGTAAACATTGCCACTAGGGATACAAAGGCGGCCGGGCGTGGTGCTGGCCACCCACCCCCTCGTGTGCCATAAGTGCTCGCTAACGGCACTTGCCCCAACAGTCCGTTAAGGCTACACGGAGGACCTTTGTCTTTGTAAGTGTGTGCGCTGTGCCTGCTCACGTTCTCCCCCCCTGGCGTAGAAGTCCTTGACGGTGTCGTAGAGGCCGATGCGGATGGACGCGAAGCACATCTGGCGCTGCAGGCCGGCCACCAGCCCATTGTAGAGGCTGCGGGGGCCCTCCGTGCGCACCATGGAGGTGATGGTGCCCACGAGGCCCCTCTGCCGCACGGCTCCCGGCACCACCGCACTGCCACAGGGCGTCTCCCCCTGGATCTATCGGGGTGCGGGGGGGGGGGGGGGGGGGGGGTAACGACACACGGGCGGTCTTTTGTATGTCACTTAATTTCCCACCGTGCGTAGCCAGGAGGTGCGGGGCAAGGACAAGAAACTAAACACACAAAAAAGCAGTGATAGGGAAATTTTGTTTTCAACCGAGATGCTGATTTTAAAGTGGACGGCTCCGGTCGCTTCCGAATATCGGAAGGAAGAGCGTTCCAGACGGGCTGCAGAAGCGCATCTGAAAGCTCGCGGTGCGGAGCATGAGCGCCAAAGCCACTCTGTGCAGTATCTAGCCAGGCATGGTGCTGCACGCCACTGATTCAGAACTTTTTTGAAGCAGGGGTTGGTGGATCACGCCCCTTTTTGTGTGAAACTCTCAAACCGGCTAGCCTGTGCAGTGGCAGGGATATGGCAGCACATGGCAATGAGCAGTTAAACGGTCTGAGCGGACCCTTCAGTGTAGTTGCCTAATTGTGTGGCGGGTTGTCTCAGGGCATTCCGGTTTTCTCCCACATGCAAAACATTCATTGAATGAATTGGCCAACTGTCGCAGTATGGGACTCTCCTGAAACCCGGCGAGGCTGAAATGGGCAAATAAATCATATTATTATAATTATTGGGTTGTTATATATGATGCATGTTTTTCTCTCAAACAAATATAACGTTTCATGCCACAACTGCTCTCCACTCTTTCCTAGATTCCATCAGATCTTGAAACTCAATCGAAAAATCACCCTTTACTTGTTTATGGGAAAGCCCCATTGAGATTCCAAGGTTGACTGTGAACAGCATCGCACAGTTCCACACGATGTGGCCTTAACAATCCGAGTCTCACCCTGGAGTGCCGATGACCGAGCCTCCTCAATTCTGCACCCAACACAACCTCCTCGTTCTGATTCAGCCAACAGAACTTTACAGCCACTCTCCCGTTCCAACTTGCAAGTTGTTTACCATATTCTGCCCATGAAAATAACTCCACATCCTTTCTAGATTTGAAGCTTTCGTGACTGCAAGGATCCATACTCTTTGGTTCTATTCGGTAAAGTCACGTAGGTAAAAAATAAAACAACAAAAATCACGCCGAAACGTCCACATCCTTTTGTAGTTTTCTTACACTCAAAGGTCTGCAGCTATGGTAAGAATTCACTCACTTCTAACGTGAGCTCTTTCTTCCTGCCTCAAAAACTTCCTGGAACAATAATGTTGGCCGTACCCAGTTTATATTCTTAGCTCTTTCGGTAAGGTCACGTTGAAGGGAAACAATAAAATATATATAAAACAATAAAAATTCTCACGACGTTTCGACCATAACACAAACGGTCGTCATCAGGTGTGTCGGTTTGCATTAATTTATTTATTTTAAAACGGTGTATTTATTATTATAAATTCTCTATAAAGAATTAATGCAAACCGACACACCTGATGACGACCGTTTGTGTTATGGTCGAAACGTCGTGAGAATTTTTATTGTTTTATATATATTTTATTATTTTATTGTTTCCCTTCAACGTGACTTTACCGAAAGAGCTAAGAATATGAATTACTGCAGTCACGAAAGCTTTAAATCAAAATTTTACGTACCCAGTTTATTACACTTCACCACTGAAGCAAAACACCTCTTACCTTCCTGCTCACATACAACATTGTGCGTGCATCGTTGTCTTACTCCTGCCACGTCTGACATATGAATCACACGAGATGGTAAACATTGGACGAGCTGTAAATAGCTCATCAAGACGATACTGTTTTCAGTGCCAAGCCAAACCAGGAAATCAACTCATCGATGAAACGAAAACAATATTAAAATGTTATACATTTTGTAATGAAATGGTTATTAACATTGGTGGAGAACCCGTTGGTCTGCAACAGAAAATTAGAACTCACAATCCTGTAGTCGGAGCACTCAATATCTTTTCATATGTACTGTATTGTGATGTTTTTTGTTTATATTCTCTATAAAGAATATTCTGGCGAAAGAATTACATAAATAGGAGCACAAATTGAAACGTTAGAGCTTTTAATTTTTCACCGAACTTATTCAGCCGTTTCAATGCAACTCGTCACCCCCCCCCCTCTTCCTGATGACAAACGCTTGCATTGCGATCGAAACGTCGTAGTTTTTTGTAAATATTTGTTATTTTCTTTGAACCTATCGACGTGACTTTACCGAAAGACCCAAAGAATATGAACTCAATGTTTATTTACCACATGGAAGATCTTGTTTAGCCAGTTACCCAGCAAGTTTCGGTGGCAATATCCCGCAGTCGCCACTACCAACAGAGTTACCGTGGGGGTGGAGAGAAGCCCAGCAAGCAGCCAGCCAGGAAACTCGAGGCATAGATTATTTTTAATAGCACATGTAGTATGATTGATTATTCGAGAAGTTGTTTGCCACAAAAGCTCCAAATGACTAAAAACTACCAAAAAAAGGTATTGATGTTGGTCCATCTCTCACACTGGACATTTTACCACACTTGAGTAACAACAGCTGCACTCTGTGGAAAGAGTTAATATTTGAGTCGCGGAGTGCATGTGACGCAAGTGTAAATGAGGCTCGAAAGGGCAGCTCCACGCCCATGTGTGCAGAGAGCATGTGAGACGCACAACGACTTTTTGTACGGAACTGCTTTATTTGCGTTAAACGGGCTCCCACATTCTCTAGCCAATGGCATCTGGTGATCCAGCAGTGTTTGTTTAACAAACCTGACTGCTGATGAGACCCGGATGGCCGATACCGGTCCAGAGTTTGGTCGCCTAGACTGGTGCTTACTCTTTGGTTCTATTGGGTAAAGTCACGTAGGTGAAAATAAAATAACAAAAAATCACGACGTTTCGGCCACAACACAAGCGGCCTTCATCAGGTGAAGGGACGAGCCTGTCTGGAGGACAGCGCTGGAGTGGAAGAAGCCACGCTTAGATCACGACATTTAAGCTGTGTGAGAAGAAGAAGACCACGGGCTTTGACAAAGGAATTAGCATATAATTTAGCATTGAAATGGCTCATTGAAATAGCTACGTTAAAGTATACTTAGTATTAAAGTATACTTAACTTAGCTATTTCTTCTTCTCACACAGCTTCAATGTCGTGATCTAAGCGTGGCTTCTTCCACTCCAGCGCTGTCCTCCAGACAGGCTCGTCCCTTCACCTGATGAAGGCCGCTTGTGTTGTGGCCGAAACGTCGTGATTTTTTGTTATTTTATTTTCACCTACGTGACTTTACCCAATAGAACCAAAGAGTATGGATCCTAGCAGTCACGAAAGCTTTAAATCTAGAATAGACGGGTGCTGCTCGATAATGTTGGCCTGGAAAGCCATTGGGCTATTGAGCTAATAGAACGGAACCTAGTTCTGCTTAATCCACTGTGTTTTGGCGTAAATTGAGAACACCTTCACGTCCCAGAGGTAGCCCTTACCTGGAGGCGAACTTTGGCGGTGTCCAGAGGGAAGGTGATCATGTCCGCCACGCACGCTGCCGTGCCAGCACTCAGGAACTTGACACCCAGGGTGGGCTGCACATCGGTCGGCTTGAATCCAACCATCTTGAGACTAGCAGAGTGATCGGCGAAGATTCCCAGAACAGCGAAGCTCCCAAGGACACTCGTGCCTGAGGACGATGGCAAAACATCAACCGTCAAGACTCCACAGAGCGTACAACATTAACACGAGGGCCATGTTCATCTTATTCTCTGGATTATAAAACTCACTTCTTTCCCTTGTATTTTAAAGCAAACATCGGGGGTGCGTCTTATAATTGGGCAGGTGTCTGTTTTGCGCGTGACTAGAATTTGAACTCGCATCCTTTAGCCGGGCGGCTAAAGGATGCGAGTTCAAATTCTGGTCGGAGGTCGGGTCAATAGCTTCGTATTTAGGACAAGCAATCTTGATGTTTTTTACACCAAGTAGTACTCATTTTATTGGCCATGTAGGAGACTGAGTCGACCCTTGGCCAGTAATTTTTTTTGTATTAAATGGTCAGTGTCCCCGCCACTTAAATGCGCGACGTGCTGGTGCCCAACGCCACCGGTGGCTCCGTGCAAGCGCCGAAGTTTCCTCGTTGCGAGCGCTCCTCTCTCCGTAGCACCGCCACTATTGGCTTCCCACAAAGTAGTCGCGAATGTATCGACGCAACTGAGGATTTGTACGTAAGCAATTCCAATTGTGAGTCGACGACTCGATACAAAGTCACCGTGGAGGAGAAGTGTGCTCACCTCTCATATTCAGCATTGATTGCTAAATGGGAATTCCACATTTGTATGGAGGGGGAATAGTGACTCCGTCGGAGCAGATTTGTAGTAACTGGACAAACATTGCACCTAAGCACAAATTATGTTTCACTCTGTTTAAAATCGCATGTTATAGCCCGTGACAATAAGAGTACGTGGGAGATAATTATTATCAACAACACATTTCGATGTAAAGCTTTCGTGACTGCAGGGATTCATTTTCTTGGTTCTTTCGGTAAAGTTATTTTATTATTTCCCTTCTACGTGACTTTACCGAAAGAACACATTCTTACGCGGTATTACACACACGACTGTGCCTCTTGCGACTCAGCGAACTTTTAACGATTGTAATGATAACCGTACATGATTTCTTCCAACGCAATTACACACCGAGTGATCAGTTATCCAGCACATCAAGGAAGCGTGGTCCTGCACCGAGAATGCGTAAACCCAGCCGCTGACGGGAGGGGAATGAGGATGTTTTTTCTCTAAAGCATTGTCAGCCTGTACTTACATCCCCATTCTTACATCCCCATTCCACCACCCATCCTGTGATGTTTGATGTTAATAAAAGTCTAATAAAATAAATGTTTTAAAAAGCCACTTGTCGTGACAAAAAAAAACCGCACGTGTCACCAAAATGAAAGAAATGTACGTGATTGTGCAAAATTATAATTGTATTAGCTGGATATGGGGAGGGGGGGCAGGAAAGTCACACACATACCATCACGTTCATACACAGGGACACACGCACTCGGACACATGGTCACAAGGCAAGAGACACATATTTCCCATGTAGCCTTTATTAGACTGCTGGGGCAAGTGTTGTCTGCGAGCACCTATTAAGGCCCGCAAGGCGAAGAGGTAGGTGGGCCAGTTCAGAAAGAAGTTCAACATCATGCATGCATAACGTCACGCCTTTGTCTCCCTAGTGCTGTTTTACATACCCCACCGCACCAGGTACTCATTTAAGGCTAAGTCTACCTAGGGGGGAACACCGGTTCAGCCATTTGCAGTTGTTAATGGTCGTGAGCGGGAATCGAACTTGGGTCGGCGGATTCCGAAGCACGGTGCGCGATACACTACACAAGATCACACGGTGAAATATATAGTACAGATGTCACGCGCGCATATCATCATTCGTACACATGCAGCCACAGACACCACGAACCTGGCTATTAATATCCAGAGACATACACGTTACATAGTCATACACATATTGCCATGGCATCTTGGGGAAACAGATCATACATACACACACAACGACAAAGATCACCCACATAGCCTTTGCCACTGTTAGGGCAAGTGCTGTAAGCGAGTACGTACACACACACATATCCACACAATCATACATACACAACCATATCCATGATCACACATACACACGTCATACGCACACGTATACATCATAAACGACTTAATACAATTACATAGTCATGGATGCGTACATAAATATAGAGTCCACACATACACGATTTCTATTATATAACCACATGATTACACATACACATGATCACATCTGCACACGACCATACACATGGCAATACAAATAAAAGACCAGTCACATCGAACCACTCAATTTACGCACACCACACAGATATGATAACATCCACGTGATGACACACTCACACGTACACATTAAAACTCACACACACGCGCATATGATCACGTATACATTAACATCATCACTCACACACACCATAACTTATACATCATAACTCACACACTTACATATGATCACTCATACATCAAAACTCTCACACACACACACGTGCATATGATCACACACACACACGATCGCACACTCACACGTACACATCATAACTCACTGACCACTCGTATCGCCATCACTCACGCACACGCGCGCATCTCACGCTCACACACCAAGTGGCGGCAACGTCATCGCGGCTCTTGTACCAGGCCACGTGCACTTCGAGGTCACGCGAAGTTGTTGAAGGCTCGCGTCGGGAGGTCGCGGGACCGACCCCGCCGGGTGCAGCCGTGGGGTTGACCGACTGAGACAAGACCCCCCCCCCCTCCCACCACCCCGTCGCCAACAAGACCCGCACACTCAACTCCACTCACCTGCCGCTGCTGCGCTCAGCTGTTGCGGTATCTCAGCGCTGATCGGCGGTGGCTCTCGGTGACAGCCGCTCAACGTTGGCGGTAGAGGGCGCGCCGCTCGCTGACGCTGCCCACTCACTCCGACTGCTGCTGCTGCTGCTCGTTGCTGGTGTGAGTGAAGTTCGTCGTGGTGGTCGTGGTGGTGGTAGTGGCGATGATGTTGGTGGCGGTGGCTTCCCCGTCGCCTCCCCCGCCCCGTTATAAAGCGCACAGGGACCAATCCGCTCCGTGGCTTCACTGGCGCTTGGGTCAGGCGAGGGGACACGCCACGTGCGGTTTGCAACGCCGCCGCTATTAATCGAGGTGGGGGTTATTTTACTTTATCCTTTCTTTTATTTAATGAAACGCAGTTGGCTCAGCACCGCTGGGCCCGAGCGTCAAGCGGCCAGCAGACAAACACAACGCGAGAGTGGACAGCAAAAACGCGCCCCCTTCAAGGGGGCGACGCTCATTGTTCCATCGGAGGCATTGGGAGGGAAGTGAGTGGGTGAGTGTGTGGTTGTCACCTGCAGTGTGGTGAGTGGGTGAGTGTGTGGTTGTCACCTGCAGTGTGGTGAGTGTGTGGTTGTGACCTGCAGTGTGGTGAGTAGGTGAGTGTGTGGTTGTCACCTGCAGTGTGGTGAGTGGGTGAGTGTGTGGTTGTCATCTGCAGAGTGGGTGAGTGTGTGGTTGTCACCTGCAGTGTGGTGAGTGGGTGAGTGTGTGGTTGTCACCTGCAGTGTGGTGAGTGTGTGGTTGTCACCTGCAGTGTGGTGAGTGTGTGGTTGTCACCTGCAGTGTGGTGAGTGGGTGAGTGTGTGGTTGTCACCTGCAGTGTGGTGAGTGTGTGGTTGTCACCTGCAGTGAAGTGAGTGTGTGGTTGTCACCTGCAGTGTGGTGAGTGTGTGGTTGTCACCTGCAGTGTAGTGAGTGGGTGAGTGTGTGGTTGTCACCTGTAGTGTGGTGAGTGGGTGAGTGTGTGGTTGTCACCTGCAGTGTGGTGAGTGTGTGGTTGTCACCTGCAGTGAAGTGAGTGTGTGGTTGTCACCTGCAGTGTGGTGAGTGGGTGATTGTGTGGTTGTCACCTGCAGTGCGGTGAGTGGGTGAGTGTGTGACTGTCACCTGCAGTGTGGTGAGTGTGTGCTTGTCACCTGCAGTGTGGTGAGTGGGTGAGTGTGTGGTTGTGACTTGCTCTGTGTTTGTTGAACACACCACTGATCATGAGACGACACAGTCTGATCAACCGAGTCCCGCCATAGGAATGTGGAATTTCAACATCTGGCTCAGTGCTGTGAATAGGAGATGAACACCGCCTCAATACTCATTTGAGCAGCGAATCACTCTGAGTAGGATTGTGTTTTCATCGTGCTTTGGGGCGCACGCTGAAGAGGAAATGGTATTTCCAATGTAGAACTACTGCAGAGTCTGATTTTTCTTATATGTATTTTTAACGTATTTCGCACCGTACAAAGCCAACCGTGACATCTAGTGACCGATGAGAGGTGTTACCTTTGGATCTAGGGGTCAATTTGCTTACACAGATTATTCAGAATGTCTCTTGGACACGGTTTAGATTTACGAGGTATGAACTGGACATTGCTTTAATTCAGCTTGACACCGGTTATAATTGAGCGGCAACATTTCCAACTTTTTTTTTATTACGGAGAAACTCCTAACTCATCTTTTGTCTATGAATAACGCACCCGTACACTAATAGAATTTGATCTACAGTAAAAGTGCCCATGCGCAAATGTGAAATAGCGATTAACTCCATTGACGGCCCCGAGCCAGTGGTGAACATTCCACATTCCCACGGCGGGAGCAGAATATCCACATGACGACCACTATGGATGTTTTCCCAGGTGATAGCGTATCGACCCCGATGTAATGATAGGCCATCAAACACGAGCTCGCTCTCCCACTCTCTCTACTCGAAGCCTAGACCACACCGTCCCAGACGTCGCCCGGTTACCACGTGGGTAGAACAGCATAAACTCTGCTCTTTGCCCTGTCCCCCGCACTCTCGCGCGTGTGTATGGCACCGTTGGGTGACAGCATTGTGCAAAAGCCGATGCCGAAAAGGGATTTAGGATTTTCCAAAAGGACACATTTTCCTTGTCAAGGCCATTCATTTGCCACGTTTAAGGCCATAACACACTTCACTCGTGTTCATTCAAGGCAATGGTCGTGTGATTCCAGAAAACTTTATTTGAACAGAGCACAAGTTTCCGTAAGGGGTTAACACTATCACGGTTTCAGGACTTTTACGCAATGGCTTTTCCCCTTATCAGTTGGCACATTCTCAGTTCATTAATGGCAAAGTTCACTCTCATGAATGGGCTCGAGTGACTTCAGTCGACCGTGCAAGGATGCACAATCTACATGCGTTCACAAAGAGCGATGCACACTCTACTTCGTTGCAACCCTTTAAGAAAGTCCTCGACAATAGTGAATTCTGCATCAGAAAATGGTCATGACTGGATATCAAAACTGGATCCACCCTTGTTAATGTTGCTATTTCCATAGCAACATGAGGCATGAATTTTTATTCATCTTAAAATGTGTATGTTTGATTACACTTAGAACGTGATTGCTTAATACGGGAGTGTTTATTAATTATTTAGTTCCTGCATTGCCATGGCATCATTATTCTAAGTTCTACCAATCACAAATAGACTTCTGGTGACGAGCGATGGTCAAGCAACTGCTGAATGAAGGCCTCCCCCACATCATGACAGCGAAGCTCCCAAGAAAGGCGAAGCCCCCAAGGGCACTCGTGTCCGGGGACGGTGAAACACCCACGCCTGAAAGAACATCAGCCGTTATGACTCCACAATGCGCACAACATAAACACGAGGGCCACGTTCATCGTATTATCTGGATTATAATACTCACTGGCCAGGTGATGCTTTGGCGCGCTGGGCGGCTAAAGGATGCGAGTTCAAATTCTGGTCGGAGGTCGACTCAGAAATCAAATCGTTCAGGTCAATAGCTTCGTATTTATGGCAACCAATCTTGGCTTTTTCCACCAAGTGGTCCTCATATTATTGCCCATGGAGGAGACTGAGTCAACTCTTGGCCAGTAAATTTAAAATCAAATGGTCAGTGTCCCCGCCGCTTAAATGCGCGACGTGCTGGTGCCCAACGCCACCGGTGACTCCGTGCAAGCGCCAAAGTTTCCTCATTGCGAGCGCTCCTCTCTCCGTAGCACCGCCACTATTGGCTTCCCACAAAGTAGTCGCGAATGTATCGACGCAACTGAGGATTTGTACGTAAGCAATTCCAATTGTGAGTCGACGACTCGATACAAAGTCACAGTGGAGGAGAGGTGTGCTCACCTCCCATATTCAGCATTGATTGCTAAATGGGAATTCCACATTTGTATGGAGGGGGAATAGTGACTCCGTCGGAGTCGATCTGTAGTAACTGGACAAACATTGCACCTAAGCACAACTTATGTTTCACTCTGTTTAAAATCGCCAAGCGCATGTTATAGCCCGTAACAACAAGAGTACGGGGGAGATAATTATCAACAAGAACACATTCTTACGTGGTATTACACACACGATTGTGCCGATTACAATGATAACCGTACATGACTGCTTCCAAAGCAATTACACACCGTGCGATCAGTTATCCAGCACATCAAGGAAGCATGGCACTGCACCGAGAATGCGTAAACCCAGCCACTGACGGGAGGGGAATGAGGATGTTTTTCTCTAAAGCACTCTCAGCCTGTACTCACATCCCCATTCCACCACCCATCCTTGCTGATCTCATCAAGGAACATAAACCATCACTCACAGCGGCTTTTGGCTCACCATCGAACAAAGGCGGCCACTGCATCGCGCGCTTTCGAATGCGCTTCTGCGGCCGTCTGGAACGCTCTTTCTTCCGAAATTAGGAAGCCACAGGAGCAATGCAATTTTAAATAATCTAAATTGAAAACTAATTTCTTTAGAACTGCTTTTTGTGTTTAGTTTGCTGTCCTTCCCTCGCACCTCTGATTAGCGCGGTCGGCTACGTATGGTGCGAAAGCATATATACAAACTGTGATGTGTGATTTTAATAAAAGTCTAAAATAAATATGAAAAAAATATTACAAAAAATACACGTGTCACCAAAATGAAAGTGTCATCTGTAGGGAATGCACATGACTGTGCACAATTATTGTATTATCTGGATACGGGATAAAGTCACTAAAAAATCCTATCACGCTCATACACAGAACAGTTTTTTTAACAGTATGAAAATGTAGCGTTTCTTACTAGGCAAGGACATCTATTTCTTAGTGTCCTACAGGTAATACAATAAGGAAGATTGTTTGATGTTTTTGCATTATTCCAGGCGACGTGTCTAGTTTTCATTCATTCAGAAATGTTCAGATCAAATCAGCGTGGATGATCAGCCTTTATTCTACATATGTTTAAGGCGGCATGTTTGTCAAGGATTTTTTAATATTTCCAAGCACTTTCAAAAAGTTAAACTTTGCTCACCATATCCCAGTAAAAATGTTGTGTCATGTATAAATGCTTGAACGCCAACATTTTAAATGATCGTTTTCAAATGATATTATGAGGTGTTTTAGTTATTTTTGTATTCCGAATGCAAAAGATAATGGTATAGTTATTGAGATGGTTACCTAAGACTCACACTTTTGAAAATATACTGGGTGATTTTTGTGAGTAGGATATCAAGTATAGACGAGCGATCTGAGTTTTTATATTGAGTCTAATGGTTGAAGTAATCAGTTGACTTCGATTGTACTGGTGTGTTAAGTAGTTGCCCTGTGATCAATAGTTCACTTTTGGGAATGGGTGACATAACATTATTCAAAGATCCATTTGTTATTTTGCTATTTGGCAGTCTTTAGCAACACATCAGAGTAAAATTGTGATGACCTGTAAAATAAATTATGAGCATGATACGTTGAAAAGAGTCTGAGTCAGATATAGTAGTAAGTTGTATGCAATGTAGGTCATTGTTTCACATATACTGCCACACCTCTCCCTCGTGATTGTCCAATCGGAATATATCCTTCAACTGCTATCAAACCTTAGGTACTGTAGGTACAGTATATTGCCAATGTTGAACTATAACCCTCGCCACCGGACAGAGGCAGTGAAATTAAATTGTCACATTGGGGAGAATGTGCCGACTCGTTTGTTTTTTCCAGCAAAGGACGGAGGAGGAATTAAAAAAATTAGCAAAATGTTGACAATTGTTGCACGACGTTTCGCTGGAATTACATCCAGGATAATCAGGCGTTAACAAAAGCTCACCTTCGTGATGTCTACAAACGTTGTAATAAGCTCACAAGAAATCATATAAAATTGAAAGCATGTGCTGTAGCAATAAACCCAAAAGTGAATCATGTAATATAATGGAGCTTGAAGAGCTCTGTTATAATATAAGAAACTGTTAAATCAATGCATTCTTACATGCAATTATATTATTTTAAAGTCTGAATCCACTGTTCTATAACCTGGTAGTCCG